TTTTTTTAGAATCCATTAAATTATATATTGCCTAAAACAGGTGGGCCTGACACTCTTTGATAGACTGTCGAATATCATTAAATCAGAAGCGAGCTGCTTTTGGAAGCCTTCTTCTGGCTGAGTGGGCGTTCGTGGGTGGAGAGCTATGTGCTGCACCCCTTGACTGGAGAGGGGACCCTCCTTTTGTTGCTAATTTGGTAAAGACTTAAGTGAGGCTCCAAGCAGTGGGGGTAGATAAGTAGTTTTTTGGTTTTTTTTAAAGTGCTTTGAGCAGATTTCAGGCGCATTCATGTCGGTTTGAGTACTCTTCCTGCCATGTATTTGGGGGTGACTGAGACTAGGCTGACATGTGCCCAGCTAGTTAACTAGTCGTGAGCTACAGCTGGTTCTGTACTTAGGCCTAAGAATGTGGGATCCCAGCCTGGATGGACAGTCTGACTTAGAGGTTTTCACATCTCTGCCAGCATCCTGAGGGAGATTGCCTGCACACCCTTGGTTCAGTTCTATCAAATGTTCATTGGACACTGACGGAGTGCCTGGCATTGCCCTGAAGCGCTTTAAAAACATTTTTTTTTTGGGGGGGGGGCTCCTGGGTGGCTCAGTCCGTTGGGCGTCCACCTTCGGCTCAGGTCATGATCTCACGGCTCATGGGTTCGAGCCCCACGTCGGGCTCTGCGCTGACAGCTCAGAGCCTGGAGCCTGCTTCGGATTCTGTGTCTCCTCTCTCTCTGCCCCTTCCCCACTTGCGCTCCGTCTCTCTCTGTCTCCCAGACACAGAATCCAATGTTTTTCTTAAGAAACATTCTAGATCATCTCCGTGACCTTCTCCAGGGGTCCCTGTATGGGAGTGATTGGTGTTGGGAAAAGGAGGGCCCAGCACTCCTGGCCTCCTTTACGTCGATGAACGCCGATGCCTTCTAGCCATTTGGCTACAAGTTGGTGGTCAGTATATCTGAACATCTTCAGGCTTTTCAGAAGAGCTTCTCATACTTTTTTTGTGGATCTGAAAGAGAATAAAAGGTTAGGTGAGGCTGTAATTGGTTGCTTTGAACTCTTGTGCTTTTAAGGATGCTGACTGATGTCTATCTGGACGGGGATCCCCAGTGGCCAGTCAGAGGACTCTGATCTCAGCCCTTACCTCTTTAATTACTTGGATGTAGATGTAGAAGGGACATTCATACTTGATAAGAAAATGGTAAATATGTTAGGTGTTTTCATTGGAATTCCCCACAATGTCTCGATGGGTCTGGAATGGTAGCCTGAGCTGTCAAAGGTTCACTCAGTGTAAGTTAAAATAAAGTTGTGCTCTTGAGTAGAAGCAGCCCACTGGGGCACAGAGACAAGATGGAGGCAGTGTGGCTTAGCAGAATGGTGACAGGATCTGTGCGTGGGTATTGGTGTCAGTAGCTGCCAATGGACCTCTGCCAGGAGCCAGTCAGACAGGATCCCTGGGGTGTGGCTTAGTGCCCCGTGGGAGCAAATTGTCGCTTGGGGGAATAAATCCAGAGACCTGCAGTTGGGCCAAGCAGGTCTCAAAGGCAGAACTGATGGATGTGCTCTCATGGCCTCTGTGGAACAGACTTTAGGCTCCGGGTGGGTTGTAAATTCATGGTGTTTTGTTGCCAGAACCTCTAGTTTGATCTGAAAATTAAAAAAAAAAAGTAATGACTATTGTTTTCATAAAAATGATACATGATCCTTATTTAAAACTCACACACACACACACAATTCTGGCCATATGGGAAAGTACAAACAGGAAAATAACCTATTGGTCCAAATCTTAACTTCCAGAAATAGCCCATTTTAATTTTGGTAGAGAATTTTCCAGACATCTCTGTGTGCATTTTCAGGCAGGCTTGATACCTACAGAAATGTATAAAGAGACAGTTTTTTTTTTAATGTTTATTTTTGAGAGAGAGCATGAGCCGGGAGGGGCAGAGAGGGAGAGGGAGACACAGAATGTGAAGCAGGCTCCAGACTCTGAGCTGTCAGCACAGAGCCCGATGTGGGGCTCGAACCCATGAGCTGTAAGATCATGACCTGAGCCAAAGTCAGATGCTTAACTGACTGAGCCACCCAGGCTCCCCTAAAGAGACTGTTTTATGACAAGTTGTAAAACAAAAATATATTTAATTTTACTTTTATGTAACAGTATTGAAACTGGAGTGAAGTAATACTGGAGAGATTACTGAACTTCAGATGATGATTTCTTCTCCCAAAGAACTTAGTTTTTCAGACATCCCTCTAAAGCAGTGGTTCTTTTTTTTTTAATTTTTTTTAATGTTTATTCATTTTTGGAGAGAGAGGCAGATCATTAATAGGGGAAGGGCAAAGAGAAAGGGAGACACGGAATCTGAAGCAGGCTCCAGGCTCTGAGCTGTCAGCACAAAGCCCGACGCGGGGCTTGAACTCACAAACCATGAGATCATGACCTGAGCTGAATCTGGACGCTTAACCGACTGAGCCACCCAGGCACCCCCCCCCTTTTTTTTAGTGTTTATTTTGCCAGGGATTGAGAGAGAAGGGGAGGGGCAGAGAGAGAGGGAGAGAGAATCCCAAGCAGACTCCACGTTGTCAGCACAGAGCCTGACATGGGGCTCGAACTCACTAACTGGGAGGTCATGACTTGAGCTGAAATCAAGAGTCAGATTCTCAACTGACTGAGCCATCCCAGGCACCCCTAAAATAGTGGTTCTTAACCAGGGGATGATTTTGTCCCATAAGGTCCATCTGGCACCTGGAGACATTTTTCGTAGTCCCCACCAGTGGCATCTGTGAATGTTCCTGGCATCTCATGAACCGAGGTCAGGGATGGGGCTAGACACCCTGCAGTGCACAGGACAGCCCCTCCCAACCCCCCAAAAGAACCATCTGGCCCAAAATGTCCTTGGTGGCAAGGTTGAGAAACTGTCCCCAAGGGTAAGAAAATAAGATTGTTACAACCAATAGGAAGATGAAATCATTATGTTTTAGCTCAGTTGCAATTATAGACTATTCTGATTGGGTTTCTGCAGTGAAAGATGAGACGATTAACTTCATTAGAGTTTCTCCCTCCTCTCCTTAAACTGCAAAATCAGGAGGTGGCCCATGTTAGGCTCACCATGTCAGTGTTCTCAACACTTACATTCTGTCCTACAACGATCACCCCCTAGGTGTTTAATCTTAGTTCTGTGTTTAAATGATTCCATGCCAAACTCTTCTTTTTTATTTTAAGTTTTTCTTTCAAGTAAACTCCACACCACACATGGGGTTGAACTCACAACCCTGAGAACAAGAGTCACGCTTTATGGACTGAGCCAGCCAGGCACCCCCCAGCTCCATTTCTCTAGCCATGGTTTTTCCTTTCCTGGGTTGATTTTGCATCACCTCTTGGTCAGTTGGCTATTTGATCTTGATATAAATTTAATGTGTAGGGAGGTGTCACAGTCCACTCTGGTTTGCTCCAGTCAGAATGGCACCTGCAGTTTTGAGTTTGTGTCTGAGGACCACACTTAAAAGAGAGACATCGTGCAGTGTCCCAGGATGCTGCAGGGACGTGAAACAGGGGTCTGTGTAGAAAATGAACTGCACTTGGGAAGGGAAGGGAAAGCTGTGGATGAATTCCCCGAGAAGACCTCCCTCTGGAAGCAGGGTAGGCCTTCGCTCTGAGGGTCCCCAGAAGGTTCAAGCCAGTGCTGCATGGACACAAAAGACAGGGTGGCAGAGAGAGGTGTTGAGCTCCCTGTGAGCCGAAATGTGGTGGGGAACTACCTGTTGGCATGTTGTATGTAGATGTTGGGTTCAAGCCATCAGCTGAGTGGCTATATTTAGGTATCTTCTCAACCTTGAGATTCTGATGGTCTAACAACGCTTCCCAGTAGCTGCCTGTCCTAGAGGGGCTCCGGTCACTCTGGTTCTCTCCTCCCTGTCCTTTGAGATAAGGGTGAAAGGTTCTCTCCTCCCTGTCCTTTGAGATAAGGGTGAAAAAAAGCCACAGCCATGGTCACGTGGTTCAGGGCAGAGCCTTACGTGTTCTGCACATCTTGAATTTGGACCCATCATTTACTACTCAAAATGTGATCCATGCATCTATAGGTTAGATTCCACCAAACGTGTTCCAGTCGGTGTTTGTAGTATTTATAAGATTACCGGGCCTGAGTATATTCGAAACCCGTTTCTGAGCCGATACGTTTATATATAATCTGGGCAACATACCGTAGACTGCAGAGGAAGAGAGCACACACAGATCGTTCCCTGTGTAATTGGAGTCTGGGTGTTCTGTTATTGTCTTAGTCAGGTGTCGGTCACAGCATGCCTTACTGATCGATGACTTTGTTTTGTTGTAGGGGAGCTATCCAGTTTGGGAGGATTTCATAAACAAAGCAGGAAAGCTACAGTCCCAGCTTCGGTAAGTATAGAAGCCTGTCGTTCCCAGAAAGTGGCAACATCCACAGACAAAGGATGGAATAGGACAGACCCAGGATGCAGATTGAGGTTAATTTTGGAAGTGTTACAGGTACAGAAGCATGTAGTGGGTTCTAATTTGAGCATTGCCACTTGTTAGCCTTATGTCTTGGGCCCCGGTTCCCTTAGGTAAAACTGAACTGTCTGCTCTGCCTTCTTCCATAGGAATTTTCAGAGTCAGATGAGCTGTTATATATGTAAGGTAATAATGGGCAACATTCATGTAACGCTCACTATGTGCCAGGCATATGTTAATTAAATCTCCCAACCCTGGGAGGTAAGTACAGCTATTATCCTCAATTTACTGATGACAAAAATGAGGCACAGAGAAACTTAACCAACTTGTGCAAAGTCACACAGCTAGTAAAAGCCAGAGCAGGGATTTGAACCTGAGTCTGGCTGCGAGGTCCATTCTGCTTACTGCCTATCCGTATAAAGAGCTTACAGCTTATTGTTGACTACTGTATCATTCCATTTGTGTGCAAGGTCTAGAAAACGCACATCTGCAGAGACAGATGTAGATTAGTGGCTGCCTGGGCCTAGTGGAGGAAAAGGAGATTGAGTACACGTGGGCATGAGGAATCTTTTCGGGGTGATGGAAATGTCCTAAAGTTGGCTCGTGCTAGTGGTTGCAAAATTCTAAGTTCACTAAAAAATTGTTGAATCACACACCTACAAAGGTTGAATTTTACGGTATACAAATTATCCCTCAATACAGCTATTTAAACAATAAGATCTAGGGTCAGTCGGCTCTAAGGGGCTATTGTTGCTTTGTCTTGTGCTTGTTTATGTATCATTTGATGTGAAATAGAATCTTCTTGTTACAGCTGTATGCTTTTAAATCAGTGAGGAGAAAGGCTACTCAGCGGTGTTCCATGAGGGACAGGGCATTTACAAAAGCAGTAATTCTCATGACTCCTGTTCATGGCATAAGGGGGATGACATCAGTTGTTTTGAATGTATGCAGGTGGTTTTCCAGAGGACAAAGCAAGTAGGGGTTTTCTAGGATAAAAAACCATGTGGATGACATGACACTTTTGGTCCTTTGCCCATGGACATCAGGGGGTTACCGCCCAGAGCTTTAACCATAGGACTGGACATTTCGTGGTTCCCCTGTAGGTCAGGAGAGAAGAACTCCAGAAGGATGGATCTTTCCTCTTCCATTCTGTCAGCTTTGTGGGGCCTGGGATTTCTACCCCATGCACCTGGCGTTTCCCAAGCTGTCCTTGGTCTTCCAGGAGACTCAGGAATACAGCCCCTTCTCTGTTTGTCAGATCCTTTACCATTTCGGTGCTTAAGAACTTGTAAAGACTTTCTGCTGGGCCAGCTCCACTCTCTTCTGTCTGAATGCAAAGCCCTGCAGAAGCATTTACCAGCCTCACCTTATCAAGCTACTCACTCTACTCATTGATTTTAAATAGTCTCCATCCTGTAGGTCCCTGCTGGAATCAACCAGTAAAACATTTAAGTAGCCCCCCCCCACCACCATCCCCCCAACACATACACGTTTTTCTTATGTGGCCTCATTTAATTATCTGGCAGCCTTTTCAGGGTCGACCAATGAAAAGATTCTCTTCCCCTTTTACCAAAGAGCAAGCCAAAACTTAAGGTAAATATGAGGTTAGTACAGCTGATTAGTTACAGTAAAACTTTTAAAGCAATCTTATACTCACTAGTACAAAGTACACTTTTTACTTTTTAACAACTGTTTAGGCCTCCTGAGGGCAGGGGCCATTTCTTTATTTTGTCAAACTGGTAGTGCCCAGCTGAGAGCCTCACACACATGGTTTGGTGTTCTGCAGTAAAGAAAGGATAAGGCTATAGAAGAGGCAAATAAGCTGGGAACACATACACCAAATCACTCCTTTGTGCTGCCCCATCAGAGAACTAAGATATATTATGACAACAGCAGACAATGAAATAGGACTCATTGGAAGGCGGTGTTTAAAAGCTCCTAATTCCTCACACATGACCACCATCCTCCTTTTCAGTGGAGCCCTGGTGACGGAGTAACACACAAGGCATCTCTATAGCTGGCTCATTAAATTGGGATGATTGGCATTGACTTGAAAATAAATCCGTCCATTGTGTCAGATAGTAACTGTAAATCAGAAGGAGCTATTTATAAATCCCAGGATGTTTGAAAAAGCTGACTTTTCCAGGGTTTGCGTATGATGTCAACTCTTTGAAAAATATGCTTCAAAGGGGTTTTTTCTTTCAGTTTTGTGCCGTGTGTATGTCTTTTTTTTTTTTTTTTTTTAATTTGAGCAGAATGGCTTTTTGCTCTAATGGAAAATATCAGGCCTCATTCTGCAGTTGGGCGCTAAGGGACTGTTGGACAGGTTTTCCCAGGGATGACTTCCAGCATCTTCCAGAACCTTCTGTCTCAGAGCTATGGTTGCTGAGTTTTAGAGTCACTTCTTCAGTTCCATCTTGAACTCTTTTTTTAGTTCTTATTCTCACATTCTTCCTTCAACAGCTCTGCATTCTTAGGAGTGCTGAGTAGAGATTAGATTCATACGTGAAATATTTGGAAATGAGCTTCGGGCTCCATGCTTGATTGTGAGTCCCGTGTGTGTGTGAGTCCTGAGGCTGGTTTGTTCTCGTTGTCCTTGACCCTGGCGTGGAGAGGTGCTTCCTCTCCATTGGATGACAGGTAGATCACAGCGCTAGGAACCAGTAGACCACAGAGTGCTCAAGAGGATGTGAGGAACTCAAAATAATTTCTAGGACAGCAAATGAGTGTAGTGACTTCTCCCTGGTGTCAGCTTTGAGGAATTCAGAAGATGCAGTCGAGATAGCATTCTGAGGTTGAAAAAATGGTGTCTCAATTTCATTGTAAATGGGATTTAGGGGGAAAGAGTCACATAGCCAGGATCTGATCTGGCAGTGGGATGAGCATGGGACTGTGTGTCCTTCTGGGCTACCAGTTCCAGTTCTGGGATGAACTTGTGATCTTTTTTTTTTTTTAATTAAAAAAATTTTTTTAAATGTCTATTTTTGAGAGAGGTAGAGAGCAGGAGGATGGGAAGGGCAGGGAGAGAGGGGGAGGATCTGAAGCGGGCTCTGTACAGATAGCAGAAGGCCCAATGTGTGTCTTGAACTCATGAACTGAGAGATCATGACCTGAGCTGAAGTCAGACACTCAATTGACTGAGCCACCGAGGTGCCCCCAAACTAGTGATCTTGAAAGTCACTCTACTTGTCTCAGTTTTCCCATCTCTAAAATGAATTATTTGAAGTAGAGGATCTCTTTCCAACATTCCGTCTCCCGGTCCATGTCTATATGCTGTTTTCCTGCTCTAAAATTATTTCCACTTGTACCATAGTTTTTAATGATGGTTTTCATTTAGGTAAAAACACCTGTCTTTCCTCCTTTGTGAAATTTTGCCTGGTAATTGTGTTACACCATCAGGTGTCGTGATGGGAAGACTTGCCAGCATTCACCGAGCGGCATCGAATGAGCTGGATGTTTTTGGGAGAGTGTGCTAATATCGGGAAGAAATGCTTCCTAAGGGGGGGGAAAAAAAGTAGGCCTGCAAAGCCAGTGGTTGTCCATGTCCAGTAGGGTCATTTCTCCTAGAAGGTTGCATTCAGTTCTCCACAGAGGTTTTAACCCTTGAGCTGTAATGAATTTGCTAGTGTGAGACATTCCTCATGCTTTTGTTATCTGTTTGCATTTTAGGACCACAGTAGTAGCAGCGGCTGCCTTCTTGGACGCCTTTCAGAAAGTGGCCGACATGGCTACCAACACACGTGGTAAGCAGATGGAGGGATGGCGCCCAGCGTGAACCGAGTTCAGCATGTGCCTCTTTATTTACCCTTGGGCGGCGTCACGAGGAGATACAGCCTAAGTTATCAGAGCTTAGCTGACTCCTAGTTTTCACGTCCTAGAACACTTTGTAGGATTCCACCTATTAGAAGTTGCAAACAGTTCTCTGGACAATGAAGCACGTGAGAAGAACGAAAACTAAAGGAAAGCAACCGCGGGTTAGGCGGGAAGTGGCTGGACGTGTTAGTTTGATCACTTTTAATGACATGCCGGCTGCAAAGCCTTGAACCGTGTGTCTGGTTGCAGTTTGTTTTTCCCTCCTCACACGGGTTGTCCTAAGAGTTGCCTTACTCCCTGGGGAGCGGGCAGTGAGAATGCTCGGGTAGACCATTTTTCTGCGAGGAGCCCTCGTGTAAGCGGTGCGCTGTTGCGTCGTATCTGGTGATGTGTCTCCCACATTTTTCTGCAAACCCCTGAAGAGTGTGACTTGGTCGTGTCTTAACTCGCCCAAAATAGTTCTTACGACGTAGCAGGTGTTTAAAGTCGGCTTATTAAATCAATGAACAAAGGGGACTGTGGTGCCAATTTTCAGTAATTTCAGGGACTACTGAATCATACAAAAGAATAACAAAACGTGTATAAAGGAGAAAATGATAGCTCCTATATCCTCTACCATTATTGGAAAGACATTACCCGTAACGTGGAGACCTCTGTTCAAAGAGGGGTGCTTTCCTTTTCGTTCCCAGCCAGGGACGCTCTCCTCCCTTTCTTTTTTTTGTTTTGCCTTATATTTCTGGGTCTGCTTCTACACTGCCTGTTCTCTTCATTGTCATGGGAACATTGGAAAAGGTGGGTGTTGGGGGCAAGTGTTGAGGGGTTGCCCTCAGTCACACGAGGGTTTAGCTTCTCTGACACACCTCTCTACCTCCAGTGGGTTTCAGTAGGTACCCCTTTACCGTAGGTACTTAATTAAATATTCATGGGGCGCCTGGGTGGCTCAGTCCGTTAAGCGTCCGACTTCAGCTCAGGTCACGATCTCGCAGTCCGTGAGTTCGAGCCCCGCGTCAGGCTCTGGGCTGATGGCTCAGAGCCTGGAGCCTGCTTTCGATTCTGTGTCTCCCTCTCTCTCTGCCCCTCCCCCGTTCATGCTCTGTCTCTCTCTGTCCCAAAAATAAATAAACGTTAAAAAAAAAAAATATTCAAATGAATGTGCAGTGAGGACACTTCTCATTCATTCAAGAAGCCCGAAACCTGCTAATATTTTAGGTACCATTATGGGACCACAAAAACCAATATATTATTTATCCTCCTTGGCCTGGAAGGGCTTGCAGTTGAGTGGGGTGGGGGTGGGAAATGAGATGTGCAAATAAAGGATTTCGGTGTGGAAGTAACATGCGTGGTACAGTACTAGCGATAGGACAGCGTGCTGGGGGAATATCGAAACGTGAGCAATGTACTCAGTTCAGGAGCCAGAGTCCTCCCAGGGGAGGTCTTCTGTCTCCTTATTTCCAAGATGCCAGTGGTGTTTCGAAAGGTTCCCTAGGAGAATGTGATGGAGATATCAGAGCGGTGGTTTGAAGAACTTGATCTGGTTCGCCAGCTTGATATGGGTCTTAGCTAGTAACTTTCTTAATCCCTTAAAAGATGATGACCTAGTTGACATGTGTCCGTTATATTCTTCTTCATACGTGCATGTTCTAAACGTTCTATAACCTTTAAGGCAATAATCACCACTGTTAAGTGTTTTTGAGTCTGTTTTATATTTTCTCCAGCGATATCCAGAACTGGACTTGTCTTTCTAGAATAGCCATCGGAATGTGTATTTCTTAAAAGAATTGCTCTACTATTTTAAAGAACTTAGATAGCTGATACTGCATTTTTGAGGCTCTGTGATCCTTAATCAGGTCTTATATTTTAATATTGAATTATTGGTTGGACCCTAAAGGATGGAATAAAGCAGCATCCCCTGATTTCTCATAATTGCTTGCATCAAGGAGCCAGGGTTTCTGCAGAGGCTGCTCCCTGGAGTGGTTCTCGGCAGGAAACCAGGGGGACCTGCACATCTCCTGGTTGCAGGGAAGAAAAACAGAGCAATCATCTGTGGGGAAAGAACGCGAATAGCCTCTCTCTGGTGGTGACAGAGGTAAGAGTCAGAGTTTGGAGGTGATGTACTCGACAGAAGACAACTAATGTCACAGTGAACAGACTCTCGCTTTGATATATTTTTAAACCACTTGATTTCAGGTCATTTTTAGCGATGCCAGAATACATCTCGCCATCTCTAGTGTCCATGTGCACTGGGGGAAAATAACTTTCCCTTGAGTGTGAGAACTCTCCCGTGACCTACAAAGGGTATGGTCGATAACAAAGAAGGTGTATTTTATGGAGATGATAAGAGAGAAGCACGGAGGTGCTTCTTGTATGTTCCATAAGCATCAGAAGTGATTTTTACTAAGTTATTTTTTACTTACAAATTGAAAAACCTGGAACACGTGCTTTTGTTTAAAAAATTCATAGAACAAAATGCGTAAAGTAAAATCCACCCTCCCAGTACCCCCTTGCAGCGACTGGAGTAAGCGTCATATATATACTTTTTTTTTGTATACATAAATGCGTCCGGGAGGAAAAAAGCTAGTTGCAGAACAATGTGTAGAATGGTATGTGGAATAAAGTACATCTGGGTGATCTAAAGGTAGCCCATAAGGAACATGTTCTCATGCTTGTACTCCACAGTATATTGTAGTTATCTTTCCACATCCATACCTGTGGATCGGCCTTGTCCTTTCTAGTGCCCAAATGGAATTTCATAGTCTGGAAACAGAAGGATTTTCTCATTCTTCAGTTGATGGAAATTTAGGGTATCTCCATTTATTTGCTTTTACAAGGCACTCAGCAATTGATGCCCATGTATATATCCTTTGGGAGATTTATGTGTGACCTGTTTTTAATAGTGTGTGCATCTCCATGGAAACGATCTATAGAAAATGCTTCAAACGGTTTTGGTCAGCAGCAAATCTACTTGGATTTGATGTCATTACAGACTGTAACTCTGATGTGGTTTGCAGTTTGATATCTGCCCTCTACGAAGTCCAGTTTTTTGCTTAGAGCTTCTCGAAGTGTTTTTTGTGTCCTTCTTGCTGGAAGTGATAGAAGGGAAGTTAAGCGCATCTCTTTTGGTCAGGTATCCAGAATCTCAAGTTAGCATGCCCCTGGTTTCCAAAATACTAGCATTCCATATTATCTCCCAAAGCTCTGAAATTCCTCTATCTTTTTTAGCGAATATTTTGCACTAGCTATTAATATAATGTATTTAGGAAAAACTTTTAAAGCTATTCACTATAAGAGCAAAATTACTCTAGTCATTATATAACTACTGTTAAATAGAATGTGGAAATACGTTAGAACTCGATTTTGTTTGTCACACAAACGTGTATAAGTTGGTATTATGATGTGTGTAGGTTAATAATTAAACTATAATGGAATTTAAGGGTTTATTAACACCATAATACATAGTACAGTTTCATGTTTTGTTGATTTTTGCACTCTTGGATGAATATACAGTTTGCATTTAGTATGAAAGTACACCTTTGTATTTAACATGAAAGTACACCTTTTCCCATATTACTGGCCGCAAAGAATTATCGTCTAGGCACTTGCTATGCATGGAATGCCAGACTTTGTGGAGCAGGGTCCCCATCTTCTTCGTGTCCACGATGGACCAGCAAATGGCCTATTATAGGAGTTGAGAAATGTTTGAACTGACTGGTATGCAGTTGTCTGAGTTACTTAAAAATAAAAAGAAAAGGACTACCGGGTTGTGTTCACATGCTTCTCAGTCTTGGGCAGCAGAGGCACCATACTGGGGGAATAGCACTCCTGCGCCTGAGTGTGCCTTGCACACTGGGCCCTGCTCCCTGTTTCACTGGAAGGCAGGGGTACCGAGCTGATGAGACCCTCCGCCTTAGCACTGGCCCTGCGCAGCACTGCATTGTTTGCTTATGTCAGCAAGGGCCTTTGAAGTGCATAATGCTATGTGACTTTCATTTTTGGCTGCCTCTGTGTGCCTGGGTAATTACTTTATAGCTCTGAAAAACCATCTCAGGGCTGTTTAGATAATGATCCACCAAACCCAGAGTGAGGAGTTTTAAGATTTTATGAAGAAAGGAAATGGATCCCCAGCCGACCAGATCATCTTTAATGTCCAAAAGCCTTTGTACATCACTTAAAAAAGTGGGCGTGGTTTCGAGATTGGAAATCATGATAGGGAACCTTTATTGACTAGTAATGTGGGCGGGCTCTGTTCTAAGTACATCACGTATGCGGAGTCAATTCTCACAACGGCTGGTGAGATAGGTGCTCACAATCTCCGTTTTAGGTGATAAAATCGGGATGAAGAGAACTTGACTTAAACCAAAGTTACATGGCCAGTTAGTGGTAAAAGGAGTCTGGCCCAGAGCCTAAAATTTGACCATTAAATTACAATTCCTTATGTAAGGAGCTCCTGGATTTAGTATAAGCTTATATTTGCTTTTCAAGTTACTTGATCCTGAATGTACTAAAAGGATCTGTGTAGCACCTTGGAATAACCAAGATTGGGAGCTGTGATGCCCAGTTGTGTCTTCTGGCTTTGCCAACTATGCCGCCCTGAGTAAATTACAGTAGCGCCCCCTTGTCCACGGGGGAATATGTTCCAAGACTCTCAGTGGATGCCTGAAACTGGAGATCGTCCCAAACCCTGTATAGACTGTTTTTTCCTATACATACATACCTATGATAAAGTTTAATTTATAAATTAGGCACAGTAAGGGTCATCTGGGTGACTCAGTCAGTTTAAGCGTCAGACTCTTCATTTTGGCTCAGGTCAAGATCTCATGGTACGTGAGTTTGAGCCCCACCTCAGGCTCTGCGCTGACATCACAGAGCCTGCTTAAGATTCTCTTCTCTCCTTCTTTCTCTTCCCCTCCTCCACTCTCTCTTTCTCAAAATA